GCGAGAGCGAGAACCTATGCTCTGGAAAGGAAGCAGTTCAAGGGCAACCCCCTTGCCAAGTATCAGCTGATCCAGAAGAAGCTCGCAGACGCCGCCACTGATATCTCATACGGCGTCCTGGCCTCCATCCAGGTCGGCCGGTTGAAGGAGCAAGGCAAGGCTACTCCCGAGATGATTAGCATGGTCAAGCGCCAGAATTGTGACAGAGCTCTGTGGAATGCCAGAGTTCTCCAGGAGATTTTTGGTGGCAATGCTGTCAGTGACGAGTATGGTATTGGACGCCATGTGGCGAACCTCTATGTGACTCAGACCTATGAAGGCCAGAGCGATATTCATAGTAAGTTCTACCACCCGAATGCTGACAAAAAGCCATGCCCTGGCTAACTGTGTATAGGTCTCATTCTTGGAAGAGCCATTACTGGCGTTCAGGCATTTGTCTGAGATAAAGTTGGTCTGTGAGCATAGATAAGACTAGAACCAGCTGTCTCATCTGAATAGAGACTACGCTCGCAAACAATATGAGCAAACGGTTCGAAGCAGTATCGTTCTTCATCTTCGTCTTATACACATGTGACGGGTGCTGTATAAACTTTATACCAGGGCTGATAAAGAAACCTGTGACTGCTTATCCAATATCTTTGAAATGGGGGTTTAATCGGGCTTTCCAAGTCACGAAGTACAAAGCAGGGGTTCAAAAAGGAGGAGTGGACAGTTTGTACTATCTAGACCCTCCCTATCGTGGCATAGAAAGCTGTTAGTGATGGTCACTGTGGCGGTGGGCTGGGTGGAGGGGCGGCAGTGACGATTGGGCGCCAAACAAGCAGCAGCCCAGCGGCTGGGTCCCGCCTGAAAATTCGCGGTGGTCCCAGCGTTGCGCCCCCCTCCCCTGCTCGCTCAGCTTTTGGCGTGGGCGTCCTCGGCACCTATCGAATCGAAATCCGCCTTTGTCGACCCGCCCACTTTCCCCCCTCTTTCCTCTTGCAACCTAACTTGACCAACTTCGCATTCCTCTGTTTTGACATCTCTAAACCGCAACCCCCTCTTTTTACAAAGTAAGCTCTTCGCGTGCCTCCAAAAAAACTCTTCCTCTTTACCTCTGCTGCAATCTCTGCTCTCTCTGCTCTCTGCTCTCGTGCCTTTGTACCTTGTCGCCACGGTGCGCCGTCAGAACCGACGATTCATTCGGCTTCCGTTTTCTTCCACAGCCAAAGCTGACACAGCCTTAAATTCAACAGCGCCCCGGCCTTCTTCGACGTAGCATCTCGTCGTCGAGACACACATCACACAAACCTCAGAAATGGCTCTTAAGCGCATCAACAAGGAACTCGCTGACCTCGGCCGGTATGTTCAAAAATTCCCGATTCTCTCCGTTTGCTCATTTCCTGGACGCCGGGAGCCTTTGGCCGCTCCGTCATTCGATGGTGGGGCCGGGTTTTGAGCGGGGTTCAAGAACCACGCCCAAATCCCTGGGAGACTGCTCCAGCTGCGTCTAGGATATGGACGATGGACGACGACACGCGATAGTTTTGGCAGAGTTGCTGATGTCTTGATTTTACAGCGACCCGCCCTCTTCCTGCTCTGCTGGCCCAGCTGGCGACGATCTTGTAGGCATACCCCGCTATCTCCTGTTTGCACGCCGTGTTCGATGACGCGAAGAGCGCGTGACCACCATCACCACGCTCGGAATCATCTGTGAGCCAACTGCTAACATGGCAAATCAACAGTTCCAATGGCAAGCCACCATCATGGGTCCTGTAAGTTGCTTCCCCTTTCCTATTCAAGCGCTGGAGATAAGAACACGAGGCTTGGCCTTGGCGCTGTGAACAGCTGCGATAGGCCGCAATGTGCTAACCAGAGACAACAGAGCGACTCGCCATACACCGGGGGTGTTTTCTTCCTTCAGATTCAGTTCCCTACAGACTACCCTTTCAAGCCTCCCAAGGTTCAGTTCACAACCAGAATCTACCACCCCAACATCAATGCGAACGGCAGCATCTGCTTAGACATTCTCCGTGACCAGTGGAGCCCGGCCTTGACGATCTCGAAGGGTATGTGTTTTGACGCACTTGACAGACAAACTTGGACCTGTATACTGACTCTATCACAGTGTTGCTTTCAATCTGCTCCATGCTGACGGATCCCAACCCCGACGACCCGCTTGTGCCCGAGATCGCCCACGTCTACAAGACGGACCGTGCGAAATACGAACAGACAGCTCGGGAGTGGACCAGGAAGTATGCCGTTTAAGGGGGTAGTTGAAGTTGTTAATGCGGGCGAGGTGGATGGTTGACTCGGTTAGCCCCGGGAGATCTTGGTCGGCAGCCTCAACATTTCTACCCTGGCTGTATAGCGCGAGCAAACGACGAATACTCTCTGGTGTTTGGTGAGCGTGCGAGCTGGCGATGGATGCTGGAAGAATCATCTAAACTGGACGGTCGGCTGGGGATGGAGCGGGAGAGGTAGATGCGCAAGAATCAACAACTATTTCACTGCATCATCAGCTATTACTACACTCTGGGGAGCGGTTCTTGGGATTTTTTTCGGGATGCATTTGTCTTTGACTACCCTTCACATGTTCTCTTTTTCTTTCTTTCTTAGGAACACAGTTGTGTCACGTATTTCTCCAAATTGCTATTAGACACACGGGACGCGGCAAGCGAATTTGATCAGTGCTGTTTTTTTCAAGGTGATTGTGAGGTTGATTCCATGACCACTGTGACATGTCCGAGTTTGGGAGGCAAACCGCTGTCAGGGAAATAGCCGAATGCATGCCTCCGGGCCAAGCCGGGACTTTGCTCCGAGGGAGCGGTTCCGGGTTTGTCTTGTGATAACATGATTTGTGACATGATTTGATAGGGAATATTTATGATGATGGAACATTTACGATCTGAATTTACCAAGGATCAAAACTCGGGTTACGGGTTTTGTGAGTAGGCCGGAGAGGGGCACTCTCCATCCTATTTCTAGAGGGAGAACGCGTGAAGGAACAGTAAGCTGCTTATGAGGGGAGGCGAAGATGGGACAAGAAGGGGTGGAGGAGCATTTGGGTATGTTCAGAGGTGGGAAGATCTTGGGTTGGGTGGGTTGATTTGGGTGGGTGGCTTGGGGAGACACGTGTTGTTGGTGGCTTCTGGCTTCTGGCTTCCGGCTTCCGGGGAAGGGCGGGGGCACAGAAGGGGGGCGGAATTGAGAGTGGTGGTGAGCAGGATCCCAGTGTGATCTCCCTACTCGAGACGCCTGCATGACCACTAGGAGAAAGATGGAATGCGCCGGACTTGCGAAGGCGTCCTGGTGGTGCCACCAGCACGGCAACCCCAGTGCTTTCTTGTGCTCCAGATTGCCGATGCTTTCTTCAAGCTGCCTGGTCGAACTACCTCCATCCCAAAGATGACCAGATTGAGGGATCCAGGCGCCGCCCTCGATGAACCGCTTGCTTCATTCGGGCATCCTGGGTGAAAGGCAAGAAGCCCCAAACTGGGGAAAATTGGAGACTGCCTGGCGGGTGGGGGGGCTCCCGACACGAAGACTTTAGGGATCGTTTTGTTCCCGGCCTTTATGAAACGGCTCAAAGGTGTGAAAAAGCTTCATATTGATCCGTGGTT